CTAACATTCGCTTGGTTTCTGTCCCGCAAGTTTACAAAGTCTGTCTTTTTGTAAAGCACACAATTCTGATCTCCCAAATTTTAATACTGTTTTGCGTACAAAACCATTTTGATCATTCTGTTTCCTGCTTCCATCTGACGCTGGAAGTAGGGAATTGCTAACGGAATTCAGGATTGTCCAAATTATGCAAGCTTGCCAGAATGACAGAACAGCACAGTGAAATGTTAGTGCAATGCATTCTGGCAATAACTACAAAGCTGAGTTAAGGTGTTCTAGGTCTGCGTAATTTTTAATGAGTTGGCTGAATAATACTAATGTAATTGGAGTGTCTTAAGCTTTAGGTTAGGGAAATTAGTTCACTGTATTTTATTAGGACTGTAAAAGTAAATATTTTTAAAAGTGCCTTTTATTTCATGTTACCGAGTGGAAGGTAAGTGATCTCATTACAGTTATTTTTTGTTAGACTTCTCCCAACAGAGTAAAAGCTTTACCATGGCAGTTCTGCCCTTCCTCCACCCCAGTTTGCTCTGTCTGTTGGTGACATTTTCACTTTACAGATTGTGTTTAAAAAGAAAAACAAACCCAAAATTCAATCAACTTATTCACAAACACTGATGTCTTTGATACAGGAAGACAGAGAAATGCATTCTGGGGAGGATAACTTTGAGTGCAGGGCAAAGCTGCTTTAAAATTATTTCTCTCTTTCAGGACATTGACCTTTCTTCCTGATGGTCTTAAATTTGAGTCTTCTACTCTTTTGGGATGAGTCTGTCTTGTATTTATTCCATGCAATTACTAACTTTGCATTTTTTTTTTCTTATTACTGTCACCTGCATTCGTGCTCCCCACCTTTCGTTGGCACGTCCTCTCTTCTTCTCCCCTTTCCTCAACCCCACCCCTTCACTGTGCTTCGCTCCTGGGCACTTCACAAGATGTGGAAGATGTTAAATTTGTGATAAACTACGACTATCCGAACAGCTCCGAAGATTACGTGCACCGTATTGGCCGTACCGCACGTAGTACCAACAAAGGTACTGCCTACACCTTCTTCACACCAGGAAACCTGAAACAAGCCAGAGAGCTTATCAAAGTGTTGGAAGAAGCCAATCAAGCCATCAATCCAAAGCTGATGCAGCTTGTGGACCACAGAGGAGGAGGAGGTGGTGGTGGAGGTAAAGGCATATGGGAGAAGGGCCACACAGAGAATAGGTTCCCCATATTTGAGGGAGGGAAGATTAAAGAAGGGTAGGGAAGTAGTAAGTGCAAGTCTAAGATAGCAAACGGATTAGTAAGGTGTTCCGTACTCAGGGTCATAACATGTTGTCTAGATGTAGTACATCTACATAATGTTCCAACAGAGAGGCAGTCCCCTGTTTTACCTGAGCTGTAGAATTTTTTTTTTTTATCCTGATAAGGTCATAACAGGGCTGATTTAGTTTGAAGTAAGTAATTCCTTACAGCTCCTACCTAAGGACATGCAACACTATGCATGCGGATGCGTATGCAAAATTGAAATCAGGCAAGGGATACACTGGCTTATCTTCAGGGACTGAGACTATTTTTGCTCCCATTCCTTGAAGGAATAAGAAGTTTCCTTATATTTCAAAGTAAGCCCTGAATTTATTTAATTTCTTTTGTCTCCAAACTTGTGCATAAAGAATCCTTGTTGAACCTCATGTTTACACCTTGAACAAAATGACGGGACATATGCACAGCTATACGGGGAAGTTACAGTCAAAAGAACGTGCTCCTTGTGGGCAAAATTGGGGATGTAGAAGGGGTAAAACGGGGGCGCAGTTGTACCGGAATTCATTGTTTAAGACTTGTTCATGGTACTAAATCTTAATATATCCATCGCCAGGAGGTCGTTCTCGTTACCGAACGAGCAGTTCAGTAAACAACCCTAACCTGATGTACCAGGAAGAGTGTGACAGGAGGCTCCGGGGAGTGAAAGAGGGCCGGAGAGACTCAGGTGGCTTCAGAGACCGTGAGCGTGCTGACAGTTATGCCAACGGAGCCAACAAGACCTATGGCAGTGCCTACGGGAGCCCAAATTCTGCTTTTGGGGCAGCACAGAGCCAGTATGGGTACACTCAAGGGAGCTATGGAGCAGCTGCCTATGGCACGAGTGGCTATGGCACTGCAGAGTACAGTGCTAGTGGCTATGGTGCCAGCACCACAGCTGCCACCGCTGGGAGAACCTCACAGAGCACTACCCAACAGCAGTATGCAGGGATGGTGGGGCGCTCGGGCCAGCAGCCACAGCCGCTCATGTCACAACAGTTTCCGCAGCCCCCTGCCACTAACGTGATGGGCTATATGGGACAGACTGCCACCTACCAGTACCCACCCCCTCCCCCACCCCCGCCCCCCTCTCGCAAATGAGACCACTTGGTGACCAGTGTAGGCCTCTTGCATTTAAAGGAACCTTTTCTTCTCTTCTTTCCCATTGTGATGTCTCTCATGCAGGTTAGACTTAGAATTCACCATTCAAATCCCTTGAGCCCATCAAAAATGGCCCCCAGTCCACATTAATGACCCTGTCCTCTTTGGAGGTTTTTTTCCTTTTTTTTTCTTTTTTTTTTTTAAAGAGATATATATAGTTGACTGGAAAATTTATTATTTTTATCTTGCATGTTGATGAATTTGGAAATTTTATTTTCTCTAAAGGAAATGGGTATAAGGCAGATAGGTCCCAGCTCAATCATCTTGGTGTCTAAGGTTTGTGTGAAAACTTGCTTTTGAGAGGAAGAAGTTTCTATTCTGTAACACATTAATTTCAGGAAGTATCAAGAGAGGTGGGAAACTTTGGGGAGCCAAAAAGCACTTCATTTAAAATATAAATGCAAGGGAGCAATGCTCACGTCTCCTAATCTTTTTTTTTTTTTTTTAAGTAGCTCACTATTATTGCTTGTAATCTTATCGCAGATGACTTTCTATAGGAAAACTCTGCTCATTTGTCTGAGCTGGCAGTGTTCAGAGTAATGCCTTTATTGTTGGCATTTTCTGCAGCTCTGGAAGCCCCATCTTCTCATACCTGTAGCAACCAACAGTAGGGAGGTTGGAATTGAAAATCCAGTGTCTGAGACCAAACCTGCCTTGGATTTGATACCTGAAAACCTGGTAGTTGCTGTGGGTACCACTGCTAAAATAGTCAAGTAAGTTCTTTCATGCGGAGCCTGGTTATTGTTAAATTAGTTTCTGCTCTTAAATTCCTGTTGTTGGGTTTATTGAGAGAAGTCTTACTTGAGAGCCCGGAAACTAAACAAATGATGAAGAACCGATCTTGTTCATCTGTCCTTCACTCCCTCCCTTTTACCATGGGGAATGTTCTGAATGCCACTACGCTCAATAAAATGTGACAGAGTTTTCCACACTTAAATTTAAGAGACTTGAATAGAGTGGGCTGGGGGGGAGGGCAAGGTGCGGAGGAAGAGAGGAGGAGGAGGAGGAGATTGACTGGGATCTCCTTTCCATGAGGTAAGCAGTGAGCTGGTTAGTGCATCTTGATTCTGAAGCTTTATTTCTTTTGTACCTTGCTCTGACTATTGCTTTCTTTGGCTTTTGAGTGCATTTCCCTGCTCCATTGGTCCCTTTGAGCTGAGCTCTTGCAGGTAGGTAGTATTTTAGAAAATGTTAGAGAAGAGTGAAATTTTAGTAAATACGTAAATAAAACTTGTTTATTTTACAGGCTAAGGTGGGTGTGAGGGGAGTTCCCCTCTTTAGTAAAGCATGTTGTTGACTTGTTATTTCTAATACCAGACGGTTCAGAGACAGTAGATGATAATAGGAGTTGGCTGCTCTTGATCTGATAATATGACAAAAGAATGGATACGTCTCCTGGTTTGAGGCATGCTCTTTGCATTATGAGGGTGCAGGGGGTTGTGGGTTTCTTCTGTTGGCATTCTTGCATATGGATGAACAAGGCAGCCCACTCCTTCTGCAACAGAGTGGAACTTCTTATAGCCCTGGAAAAGAGCTTGCTTATACAGAAATGATTTCTTTTTAAATTTAATTTCTTCCCAGAGTAAAATTTTGTGGGTTGAATGTGCTTTTTTTTTTTTTTTTTTTTTTTGAGTGCAGTGCACAGGTAGGTTGCTGACAGGGAGAAGGGAGGGATCTTCCAGAACCTCAGTTCCCTCATCCCATTTTATAATTCCAGTGCATGAGTGGAAGTTCCTTTGCCTGTGTTAAGTGAAAGCCAGAAACATTTTGTTTATCCAGGCACTGACTGATTTGTCTTTGGCCTCCCTCACAAGCAAATGTAGAGCTTTTTTTTTTTTTTTTTTTAATTTCTTTGTTTTAAATTTGAGAGTTGAATGCAGAAATGTGTTTGAGGGGTGTAGGAGTAGAACTGGCTTTAAAAAGGGTCTCTGGACTGCCAAAGCTGCCTTACAGTCTGTTAGAGCTTTCACTTCTTTTGGGGGGGACTTGTGCACATGTAAACATCAGTGCCAAGTCTTGCTTTATTGCCATTGAGGTCAGCTGAAGTCCAGGGTCTCGGTTCAGTTCAGAGTGTCAACCAGACTGCTGAGTGCATAAATGCACCGTGGCATGTGCTGCCCCTGTCCCACCTGGTGCTCGCTGCTCTGTTCCATATACCAGCTGGAGGGCCCTTGTCGATAAAGCATTAGTCTCTAGTGTTGTTTGCATTGTTTTCAATCTGTAAAAAGTTTGTGGGAGGGTCAGATGAGTTGGGTGTCTCCTCCCCTCCCACTTCCTGAAGCAATTTACTGTTTGGACTTCTCTGAACAATGGAAGGGTTAGTGGCTTTGTGTGGGATCAGCATCTTGTTTCACACACCTGCTGGTCTCTGAACACATTCCTGTTGTATTAATGAAGACTTGAATTGAGAGATTCATAGATCTGTGGTGTTCAGGCACAGGATACTAAGAGCTATGTTACTATTCTTAGTTTGTAAATTGTCCTTTTGATACCATCTTGTTTTCTTTTGTAGGTATAAATAAAAACACTGTTGTCAATAAATTGTGAACTTCGTCTTTATTTGTGAAATGTAAACCCATCTTTGCCCCTGTTCTTCCCAGTTCTTAAAGTCAAATTCAAGGAGATGGAAACACCTCTTGGCAGCCCACTGAATTTTAATTGAAATCGTCCCCATCTGTAGGATATGAGGAACTGAAAGTGAGTGAGCGGGGAGGATGTTTGAATACTTGTGGAACTGGAAGATTCATGTCATTCAAAGGGAATGTGTTTTTCTTGAATGTTGCAGGACGTGAATAGGGAGACAGTCAAGCAGAGTTAATTTAGAAGAAGGTGTTAGTTCATACGGAGTTACAGTAAGAGGTTGTAGCATCTCCTGTGTCAGATGTGGCCACCTGTAAATAGGTCAGTGGCTTTTGTCTATGCTATCAGACTTAATAGTACCATGGTCCCTTTACCATGGGGACTTGCCAAAGGACTAAAGGGAATGACAAATTCCCTTATACTCCTTGTGCTGCCTCATGTTCAAGGTAGAGGTGTGTTTTGGAGGTAGATGCTGGGAAGAGCCAGGAGAGAATAATTTGCACTACTTCAGTATTGGCCAGCATTACTTAGACTAGCACCAAATTCATGTGAGAAGAAATAAAAACATGGAGGGGAAGAGTCTTGTGGATGAAAAGCATTTCAGCTTTCCAAGCCTCATCTTCCTAGCACCGGGTTGAAAGTTGGCTGAGCCATCCATTAGTCAAAAAGGGCCAGGGAAGGAAAGCTGTGATCTTAAAAAGCTTCGTCTTCAGAATTCCTTGCGTTGTCTGTGGAATATCTTCAAACAGGCATGGGGAGGCTTAGCTTCTTTCCCTTTAGGACTGTGCAGAGACAAAAGGTAATGAATGAACTTTGGAGAATTTGACTTGTTTTATTGTTTCAACAATTTTATTTTTTCTAAATTGCTGTTTAGAGCACAGGGTAGTGGGGGACCAGCTTTGCAAACTGCAAGTGGGAGTCAACCACTACAAAATCACTGCTAAGAGCGGAAACTCCACAAGCTAGCTATTCTCCTTTATGCTGAAGGAAAAGGTTCCTGTTTTCCGTGGTTACTTGCTCTCCCATATGGACCCTTTTAATTTTTTTTCTAATGATGTGCTATCCTTAGTGCTTTCTCCTTTTGATGTAGACCATGGCCTGAATAAATGGTCTGTGGCCAGGCCCTCCTGAGCCTGCCCCATCCTGTCTGATCTGAAACTTGGGATGGCAGGGATGCCTCTGGTGGGGGTGCATGGAGCGGCAGCTGCCCTGACTGCGTGGTGGTTGGCAGGGCACAGGGGCTGTCAGCCTGGTGCAGGGGTGCATCCTGGGGGTGGGTGCTGCGACCTGTTTGTTGGGTGCCAGAGGGAAGGGCAGTAATGTGCTGACAATGGACCTCAGAGGGCAGTGAGGGCCTGATGCACCAGGTGGGGGCACAGGGACTGTGCCAGGCTGGAGAAATGGGCTGGGGGGAACTTGTGAGGGTTGGTGAATGCAAATAGATGTCCTGCCCCTGGGGTGGAACAACCCCAGGCACCAGAATGTGCTGGGGGCTGCCCAGCTGGAAGGTGGCTTGGCAGAAAAGGCCCTGGTGTGTGCTGGTGGACACCAAGTTGAACAGGAGCCATCAGTGTGCCCTTGTGGCAAAGAAGCTGCAGGGCTAGTGTGTGTGTGTGGGGGTCCTTCCTCTCTCTGTCTCAGCCTTGGGGAGGCCACAGCTGGAGTGGTGGATTCAGCTCTGGATTCCCAGAACAAGAGACAAGGACATACTGGAGCAAGTCACAAAGGACTACAGGAGTACCTCACGTAAGAGCACAGGCTGCAAGGTGAGACTGTTCAGCCTTGAGAAGGCTGAGAGGGATGTCACCCATGTGTACAAATGCCTGATGGAACAATAAAGGAGACAGACTCAGACTCTGCTGAGTGGTGCCCAGTGACAGGGCATGGGGCAATGGGAAATTCCACTTTAACAATCAGAAAATAACATTTTACAGAGGGTGGTCAGACATCAGCACAGGTTGCCCAGAGAGGCTGCATCCTGTGTATAATCGAAACCTGATGGGACAGGACCTTGAACAATGTGCTATGAGTGGGGGCATGGGCTAGATTATTCCCCTTCTCCTTCCCCTGCCTGTTTCCAACCCCAGCCATTCAGTGAAATACAAGCTTTGGGGAGCTGAAAGCTTCCTCAGGATATCTTTCATGTCCTTGTGTTAAACAGAAAGGAGCTCATCTAGTTTTGAAAACAAGATAAAAAGAAGTAGCATTCTATAAAAATCCCTTTGCAATGCTTTGGTATAGGCTCTGAAGTCTTATTTAATACATTTCTTTATATAATGCCTTTTTTTTTTTTTTTTTGCTGCCCTTTTGTCTGAGTTCTTCAGTGTTAGAAATGTTTTGAAAAGTTGGGGTTTTTGAAAGAATGTAAGAGAGATGCAACCTGCTATAATATTACTGGCTCTCATAAATGACTGCTAAGCATTTGCATATCTTCAGACACTGTTTCTCTCCCATGATCCAGAACATTTGTGTAAAAGAAAAGAGGGGGGAAAAAGCAATTCTCTTCCTGCTGTGATGTTCCAGGGACAAGTGTTTTTTCTTCTGCCTCCTGTATCATCTAAATTTTGCAGCTCTATCACCAGCAGTGTGAGACTGAAAGCTAGCAGTTGAGGTTTTTCCCCCTTTTGTTCCACCATCACAACTACAAAGGGTATCGATTTCTCACAATAATACAAAAAGACACAGGACACATGAATGGAGCGAAACTAAAATGGGAATTAGTTTAGAAAAGGAAAAAAAAAAAAAGGAATTGGCGTGGAGCACCTTGATGGCAGTTTTACAAAGTAATTTTCTGGCAACAAAAATACTGAATGACAGAAGGAAGTCTTAATCTGCCAAGGCCAGCCACATGCTCAGTGCTCCTGTCACCTCTCTATCAGCAGGCACAGTGCATGAAGCTACTAAAAATCCATCCCTTGAAATATCAAATGTAGGCCATCACTACTGCTCTTGGCAGACTAGAAAATGATTGTCCACTCAGGCAATTTCATCTAATTCTGTCCTCAACAGAGAGGTGTTTTAAAGTGTGCTTCAGCCTCGGCAAACCACAGTGTGTTCTACCAGGACTTATGCCCTCGGTGTACTTGTTAGCTCTGGTATGTAGCTGTTTACCAAAACATGGCACTGAAATGGAAGGGGCATCTGATTTTGGAAAGTGTCTCTTCTGTGCAGATGCCCATCTTCCTACAGAATTAGTTCTTGACAATGTTACATCTTTCCCATCAAAGGAAAAGTAGGCTTAATAATATCTCCGTATGTCTGCAGTTGCCTTCTCAGGTACATTGTCTGCCTGCAGCTATTTTTTCCCCCTCAGAGTTGGTTTTCTTTTTTTTTTTTTCTTTTTTTGTGTGATTCATAATCTTTCAGAATGTATGTAGAATTGAAATGTACCTCAGTTGTTAACTTCCCAAGGTGGGGTTAAACTAGGCTTAGCTCTAGTTTAATTTCTGCTATGTTTCACAGGCACTTTTAGAGCTTTGTGAGCAGTGATGCCCACTTGCATTCAACAAATAGGTTTTTCAAACTGGACTTGAGGTGCACAATGTACATCACAAATACAGCGAAGAAGGAAGTCATGGAAGGATTGACGCATGGCAGGCTGCAGCTCCACCGTGCATTGCAAGAGTGTTGAATGAACATTTTAGATTCATACCAACCTATTTACCTACCTTTGGTGACGTAGAGATAGAAGAAGTCACAGTAGAAGATGGTTTGTACCACCCCAGAAACTACAGCGATCTGGTCATAGAAGTTCTCCGTGTGGTAGCGCCAGACCCAGTTGGCAATGTAGAGAGCACGGTAGAGGCCCAGGAAGAAAAGGTAGTGTGTCGTGATGGTCTCTGCTTCCCCTGTCTTGCTGATCATGAAGAGCTGAGGAAGGATAGCCACGGACTCCAGGTAGATGGAGAAGGTCCAGAGTATCTGTGAGGTGCAAAATGAAGGCGGTGGGGAGTCGGTGCTGGTTAACACGTGTTAAGACCCAAAGCTTTTCCTTTGGCAAAGCACTGATGTGTGAGTGCTACGAGTAGTGCTGCTGAAGTTGGGGGAAAATGAGCCTGCTGTGCTGGGACTGAGAGGAGACAGTGCTGAGCATCTTCAAGGCCTGCCAACTTTGCCTTTCCTGCCTGCTTTCACTGTTAAAAATCTCAGTTATTTAACATGGTTCTCTCTCTGCTGCCTGGTGTCAGGCTGCTGCTTCCCCTCCCTTCTCCTACCTCAGCTTTTCCTTACCTCCAAGGGGGTGAAGCTGTGGTTCTCCAGAAATGACAGGCCTGTGACAGGGACCAGCAGGAACTCAAGGCGAAAAGAGTCATTCTCGCTGTCAAATGTTTTCCGGAATTTCACATAGATCATGTACACGGTGACGTAGGCACATATCAAAAAAATGACCTGCAGGAGAGAAGGGAAATGGCAAGACCTCACCTGCAATTGCACCTTCCGTGCTTAGAGGACGGCTTTGCCGAAGGTCTGTAAACCTGGTTCTGGTGCGGCCGTGCCAGGGTGAGATAGTAGTGAATGCTTTTCCTGTGCTGGCTTATGGATTGACTTTTGCTGGAGATACTCCAGTGGTCAAGTAAAGCTTGCCCCATCATGAAGATCACACTTGTTTGAGCCCCTCTGGGGCTCTGTGTGAAGAGGTTGGCTTGGTAGCAGCCTTCTGTTAACATTCCCGCTGTGCAAGGCCAGCCAGACTTGGTTCACAGCATCTCATTCTAGTTTTAGTGGTACTAAATGTGGCTCAGCTCCCCCACTGACTCTGGTGAGGGATTTTTTTTTTTGTCAGTGGAGGGCCAGTGACACCAAAGGAAGCATCTTTACACCCTCTTCCTGGCTGAAAAATTCTCTTAGTGACCATGTACCCTCACCTCCCTGAAAAACCATGGCGAGCTGAGGGCAACCTCTGATGCTGCACTGTCCTCTCCTTACCTTCATCACAGTGTTATAGACAGAGATGAAGTTTGTGAACAGGTCCAGATAGCGGGTTGTGAAGACAAGGGCAAAAAGAATCTGACTCTTCCCAGAGATTCCTACATGGCAGGGAAACAAAAGGAAGGTAAAGCAGATGAAGGGAAGGACCCATAGGGTCCCCTTACACCTTCTTTGGAAGCATTTGTATATATTCATGTTGTTTTGTGAGCCAGGTCTGGTGTCCAGGTGCTGATGTAGCTTGAGTCCTACCCCAGGACTGGCTGGAGTCTCCCAAGTAACAGGGCAGGCTCCTGCTGATGCCACTGAGCCCTGCTTGTAGGGAGTGGCGCCCAGTGGTCATGTTCACTGCTTTGGCCAATTTGGTCCTTACTGTCACCAAAAGACCTTTCTCCCACCTCCTTTCTGCCCCTTTGCTGCCCACCTCACCAGGGATTGTGTGATGTGACATCTGACATAGGAGAGAAGAGGTGTGGGACCAGCCCAGGGACGCTGATGGAGCTTGGTCACCGCTGGCAGGGAGATGCAGTCAGGCCCACCCATTTCTCTACCAGCGATAATGGTCACAGCCCCAGCAGCCCAGCCCCAAAATCTATCACTAGGGAAACTATGAACTCAGCAAAATCCTGCAGGAAGCTGTTGTCCTAATTTCCTTATCTCAGGATGGGGCAGCCTCTGGCAGCTGTCCACCACTGGCAGGACCTCCAACCTAAAGCAGCTCTCTCTCTGGGTTGTTGGTGTTGGTGCTGCCACAACTTCTTACTCTCATTTTCTACCTCCCTCTGGCCTTGCTGCGCTCCCCTTCACTTTACCAACCCAAGACCAACACCTGCCCGAGGCTGTGTGCCTTGCCACATCACATCCTTCCAACGCAGCACTCTCCTTCTGCCAGGGACACCTTCCAGAGGAGGAGGATGATTTCCCTGCGAGAGCCCAGTGGGGAGGGCTTCCAGTCTGTGTGGGCTATCACTTGTCTTTCCAGCACCCATTTTGGTTGCACACTTCATCAAGCTGCCCTCCAAGAAAGACCACCCTCCTTCCCTGGGGCATGGGAGCACTCACCGGCACAGGACTTGGATTTCAGGATCTTCAGCAGGAGAATAATGATGGCCAGCAAGTGGGAGATATCCCCCAGGATGCGGAAGATGTTCATGGTGCCGGCGGGGGCTCCTCTGGGGTGACGGGAGTGTGGCGCTTTCTGCAGGCAAGGAAGGCGAGGACAGGGAGCTTTTCTTCCTTGAGCCTCAACTGAGTGAACGGTCTCCTCCGGCTCAACTTTCCTTTTTCCCTGAGCACAGAGCCCTCCCTTCTTGTGGAGCAAAGTTCAGGCTCTCCTCTCCCCTGGTTGTGAGTGCCTTTCCCCTTCCAGGCTGGATGTCTGCCTTATTTACTTTTCCACCAAGGTGGATTTTCCCTCTCCCAGGCTAGGGCCTTCCTCTCCCTGCTTTAGGCTGAGAGTTGGGGTTTGTCCCCTGGAGAGCCCCAGGCTGAGCAGCCCTGAAGCCAGCGCTGGGTGACGGTGACGTGGCTCCTGGCTGGCCGGGGAGGAGAGAGAGGAGGAGGCAGAGGCGGGAATAACTGCGCTATTTTTCCCTTTTTCTTTTTTTTCTTTCCTCTTTTTTCTTCCCCAGCCTGTCTCAAGTTACACACGGAAGTGTGGTTAAAGGGGAAAAGGCAGAGGGAACGGGATTCCCATCCTCTGGCCTTGAGGACACACCCTCCCGCGAGGGCCAGGCTTCCCAGGGAAGTTCACCATGGGTGCATTAACCTCTGTCCTGCTCCCAGCCGGCAGCCCTCTGCCCTCTGCCTTTGCTGGCCTCAGCACCTTCTCCCCAGTGCTCCACCTTGTCTCCCCGAGCAAAAGAAGTGGGGAGAGATTTGAATTACCAAGCCAGCGCAGCTCTTCCACGGCAGTTCATGCACAGGCATTGCCTGGCGACTGGCCCACCAGGAAACCTTGCCTTCAGGTGCTCCACCTGGAGCAGCATGGATCCCAGACCCCAGCCCAGGAGCAAAGAAAAGATCCTCCCAAGGGCTGGTTTGAAACAAACTTCACTGAAAATATTAATCCTGGATTCCTGCGAGTGTGTTACAAACAAAGTAGTTCATGTGTTGAGTGAAAAGCGCATGGGTGCTGCTGGTTTTGTAGATTTCACAGAAAGGAGCTCAGTAGCGACTGTTAGAAAGTTCTAATATATTTGAAAGCAGCTCTGGCTGACCAGCCTGGTTCAGGTAATCCTTGTCCTTGGAGAAGTGGTTACACAGGGAGATCTCATGGTGGCAGTGGGTGGACCTCTGCCTCAAGAGCCAGCAATTAGATATTCAATACCTAATCACTTTGTATTAGGTGCCTTAATTTTAAAAATATAATATGAATAAATATAATAAATAAATTAAATAAATGTGTTTAACTTGATATTAAGTTGCTTTAATGCAAGCAAATGCATGTTTCAATTTGTCACCTCATCCCTGAGCAAATCACTGACTGTGGGTCTAATTTGGTTACCCTTGGGTTGTGTGATCCTGCCTGCTCTTGCCCCAGAGTTGGCTCTGGCTGCTGCCCTCCCTGTCTCCAACCATCACCCATGGCTGTCTCTTACACATATCTCTCTGCCCTTATGAACTTGCTTGGAGTAAAATCCTTAAAGATTAAAGTGTAAAAATATTATTCCTGGTGCTTTCTGAGAGGATTAACAAGCCTATTAGCATCACCGGATCCCTTGTCTGAATATATTTGCATATATTTCCTCCCTGCCCATTAGGCTGGCAGTTGTGTTTTCCCTCTCTGACGCTCCAGCACCTGCATCATCGGGCTTTTCCAGATGGATTCACTGGCTGTGTTGGAAAACACCTGCTCAGCTCCATGAAACTGGGGATGGCCCTGCCAGGGCACCAAAGCAGATGCTGGTGCAGTGGGAGAAGAGCAGGAGAAGACCAAAGGAGAGCACTGGCAAAGGAGTGACAGGGTAGGGACTGGCTGAAATTGGGTTTCCAACCATCAGAGCGGTGCTGCCTGGGATTTCAGCAGGGCCATGTGGGTGCTGGTGAAAGCCAAGCCCCAGCTGTGGTGGCCCTGCAGGGCCCTAGTATCCCAGATCCTTTTGCAGGTGGGCAAAGAGAGGTCTGAGCCGTGGAGCAGGGATGGAAGGTTTAGGGGAAGGAACAGATTTGGGATCTTCTCTTCCACTTGATCCCCTTCCAAGCTTCTGGAGTGCAATGTCTGAGAGCCCTCGTCTTTCTCTTGTCCCTGCACTGCTCTTTGCAGCTTCTTGTCTCACCCAGGGAAAGAAGCCCCCTGCAGAGGGGTAACACGTTGTGGGTGGCAAAGGTTTATGCTCTTAATCTTGCGCCTTCCCAAGAAAAACTGATCAGCTCCAAGTCCCAGCATTATCTCCTGCTGTGGCAGCAGGAATCACCAGCTGAGGTGACCATCAGAGGACCTTCCTGGGAGCAGCCCAATTGAGCTCACCCAGCTGGGACGCGGTGGTGGGGCTGGGGTCTCCCCATGGGACATCCCTGTGTGGCACGCATGAGGGCCATGGGAAAGTTGCCAGGAGGCCAAGGGGCAGCCAGGCCCTAAGAGATGAAGTATTGGGCACATGAAGTGGGAACAAGTAAAAATAAACCTTCCCTCCTCCCTCCCTGCCACAACGCAAAGTGCCTTGTGCCGGGTGTCTCCCTGCCTCCCGAAATAATGCCGGGTGCTGCCACCACCCTGCACGGCGATGCTCTCTCCATGCCTCCCGTTTCCATGGTGACCACAAGGAATGTCGCCAGGGTGACAGGGAGGCAAGTGAGCTGGGATTTGGCATTAAAACCAAGAATTTGGGGTTGTTGGGTTTATTTTTCTCCCCCCTCTCCCCCTCCCCCTTTAGTTCTATTTTTGGGGTTTCCCTCTCTGCTAGTCTGGAAGGCTCCTCCTGCAGAGCCTCTGGGCCAGGCAGCAGCAGCTCCACCCAGTGCTGTTCCCCATCTCTGCCTGTCCTGCAAGGCAATGGTGTTGGGATGAGAAAAGGGACAAAGGGGGTTTCCTTCTTACTAAAACATTTGTTTCCTGCTACCAGGAAGGCTTCTGTGCTTTTGCCACAGAGGTGCTCGTCTTGGTGTCCCCCTCCATTTCTGCTGCAGGATGTGGCTCAAGCTGCATCCAGACCGCCTGGGAGAGTGGGCAGCCTCAGGGATTCATCCAAGAGAGGGAAATGATTCAGTGTACCTGGAGGGGCTGGGAAACATGGTGGGGTTGAAGAACACGCGCCACCTCTGTGTCTCACCATCTCTGTCCCCCATGACCAGGTCAGTTTGGCTGGGGCAGTCCTAGAGCACTGGTGGGGGACAAGGATGGGATGATTGCAGGAGAATCGTAGAGGGAGCCTTGCAGGTGCTAAGGAGTCCAAAACATTGTTGTCTGGTTTAAACACTCTAAGTCAGAACTTCCCAGGGCAGAGAGCACTTGAAGGTTTGTGCTGGCTTAGCTGGTATCACAGGAACGTGGGACCATAGGTGTTCAAGCAGGGGCTGCTGTCACGAAGGTAGCACTTGTCTTCGTCCCCAGGCAGGAGAGGGGTCAGGCAGCAGTCGTTCACCTTCCCAGGAGCTCTTGTTTCTCCCTTCCTCCTTTCCTGCCTGCCTGCCTCCCTCCTTCCCTCTGTCTTTCTCCATTCATCCCTCCATTCATCCCTCCAAACTTTCCTCCATTCATCCCTCCAAACATTCCTCCATCCCTCTTTCCATCTCTCTTTCTCTCCTTTCATCTAGTCCTCTATCCATCCTTCCCACCACCCTTCCATCCCTCCATCCTTCTATCCCTTTGCCTCCCTCAGTCCCCACAGCAGCACTGGGAAAGGTTGGCGGAGTGGGGCTATTTTTGGGAGCGTCTCCCTGGCAACGGCTGCCACCACCGTCTGTGGTGGCTTTTCCATAGGTGCTAAAATATTCCACGCTTCTTATTAAAGACGGTGCTGGTGGAGACGGGCGGGGGTGGTGAGTGTGAGCCACCCCGCTGCTGGGGCCGGTGGCCATGGGGCGGTCAGGGCGTGGCACCTCGGGGGGCACAAAGACAGAGAGGGGCCAGTGGCATCCTCGGTGTGACATCCCCGTGTCCCTCTCAATGGCTCCAGCAGTGCCAGCTGCCTCTTGGCCATGCCGGGCTGCCACACCATGCACGAGGTGTAGCTGTTCATTGTCTCGCTGCACAGGTGAGGGAAACACGGCGAGGTCTTGTGGGGAGCCAGCAATGAGGAGCAAAAGGCAGAGAAGAAGAAACCCAACCCGAAGCTGAGGCTACCACAGGGTTGTGCAGGTATTTGGTGGCTTTGCCTACTCCAGGAAGGAGCAAGATGTCTCAACAGCATCTTCCTCCATTTACTGCACGGAGGAGAAAGGCCTGTCAGTGCCACCAGGCACATGGGCAGCTACTGCCTTGTAGCTCTTGGGAAGAAGCCCCATGGGCCCCAAGGACAGGGCTTTTGGGAAAGCAGGTACCCCTAGAAACCTGCACAAGGTTCCCATAGGGATGGCTACAGAGGGCATGGACAGACTGGTCCCATTCCATCCAGTCACAGCAGCTCCCTCGGATCCCCCACTGGGGTAGGATGGGGGAGCCATGGGTGCACTGAGATGAGTTGGCTCGTGCAGGAGGCTGATGAGCTCCTGGTTTGCAGCTGCTCATCTGCATGGAGCTACCAAACTCACCCTCTGCTTCCCTGGTGGTGGCTTTGCCAGGTGGGAGTAGGCTGTGCTCACCACGGCAGTGCTCGCTGATGCCAGTGGGGGACAGGAGGCCCCACAGCATCTTGGGATGATTTTGGGAGGGAAGGTTGAGATTCTTGCAGGATTGGAGCCCAGGGGAGACTCAAAACGGGGTTTTTTTGATATTTTTTGACTTTTCAGCACAGGCCTTAACACTGGGGACAGCAGATGATGGAACCCATGTCCTCAAACCACGCTGTCCTGGAGTAGGGCTGTCCCCCGGCTTCTCATCTTGTCACCAAGAAGTGACCTCTGCAAAGCCTCTGAGATGCTGCTGCCCTTGGAGACCCAGAGGAGATTGCCTGGGCATGTTTCCTGGCAGGGCGGCTGTGAATTATCCTGGAGCCCTGAGGGCTGGTCCCTCTGAGCCCACGCTCCTGTCCCCAGCGTTACTCATCCCAGAAGGAAATCTCCAGCTCTGTAGGGTGGGGAGGCAATGCCCCACAACAAACACTCTGCATCAGCTGGGAGAGCCTGACCCTTCCTCAGAGCGAGGTGTCAGCCCAGCACCCCAAATCCAGGTGGGGAAAAAAACCCTGACAGTGGATAATTCGTCCCTGTGCACCAGCCCAGCAGGAGGATTCACCTCTTTGGGGGCATCTGGTGGTCCCGCCACCCCTTCCCCTCTGCCGATGGTTGCTCTCGTCTCCCCCATGGCGGTTCCACAGCTCTGAGCTCACATGCGAGGATGGGCTAAGGGAGCGGAAAGCTGTTGGATCCTACCACAGAGTTACCGACTTCTCAGCTACAGACTGCATAGCAATCAGCGAGGGGGAGAGGCAGCCAGGGAAAGGGAGCGGAGCGCAAAGGGAGGCAGAGTGGAAGGCAGAGGGGGGATTTGGGGACTATTGCAGGGAGGCAGCGAGAGGCACAGGCAAATAATGCCAGAGAAGGAGGGAACTGGGCAGGAGGGGGAGACCTGAACCCACCGCCGAGCCACGGAGGCACATCAGCACTCCGTGGGATGGACGCTCCTGGGAGCAAAAAATTCTGAGAGGCAGAGGCAGGAGGAGAGCTCTGGCGTGGGCAGGGCAGAGTTAGTAGAGGAGCAGGTCGCAGCAGAGAAGTAGCTCTTCTAGGAGGGAAAAAATAAACCTAAGCTGGAGGTGAGCGAGGGCTGCAGAGAGACTTCCCTGATTCCTCCGGTCCGGCTGAGACATTTCATGGTGAGATGGAGAAACCGTCCGCTTTCCCCTTCCTCTGATGTTGGCTCGGCACGGCTGGAGCAGGCAGCAGCCCTCGGCAGGACCCGGGTAAGAGGCGGTGCCGGGGCGCGCTGCTCCCCTCACCGGCATGAGATCGGGGAGGGTTTTTTTCCTCTTAGGAAAATAGTGTATTGTTTCATTTGCGTTCGCTCTGAGCAACAGCTATAAATATAACTTAGGGAGAGATGTGTGGCTTCGTGTGAGTGTGCCAGTGAATAATAAAGTTGCCTGTGTGCACGGTACATGCACGTACAGCTACCAGGGTGGCCACGGGCCAAGGGGCAGGGGTGGGCACCTGCCTGTAAACCTCCCCAACTTCCCTCTCCGCCCCTTGCCACCCTGACTTTGGTTGCTTTGCAAGTAACTTCATTTTTACGGCTCCCCATGTTTCCTTAGTGTCTTTTTGCCCTGGGCTGGGTCTTGCTCACCTTTTTCCCCTGCTCCATGCAGGCAATGGTCCCAGACAGTTCACAGGGAAGAATGCAGCTGGAGATCCGTTTTCCAAGTGCTTGGGGCTGAAGTGGATGTGTTCTCTTACTGCCTGTGGAGCTTTTTGGGCTCCAGACCTGCCCCTCCTTCCCCTGCCTTCCACCATTCCTAGTCCCAGCATGGCTGATCCTGCTGCTGGTGGTCCAATAGCCCCCGGGTAGGCACGATGCAAAGGGTCTTCTGTATACTGGGTTTGAGTGAAAGGAGTTCAGAAGGAAGCCATGAGCAAACTGCCAGAGAAACTCTGTCTCTGCTCCCTGTTGGCAAGGTCAGCATCCCCACCGGGGCTTGAATGGGCAGGCAGGTTTGTGTGGTGCTGGCAGGTCGCTTCGGATATCCCTGGTGCCACCTTCAGCCTGCAAGGCCCTCTCTTGTGAGCAAAACACCTGGAGTCAGTCAAATCCCTCTGCCAAGAACCTGGAGATCCTGTCCCCACTGCCCCATCCAGACTCCATCCGTGGCAAAGCAAACAGAGGCTCTGAGGCCTCTACCTGTTCCCATTCATCTTTTTGGGGGGTTGTGCTGTGAAGGGCAGACAGTGACAGCACACACGGGGGATGCATGGTGAAGGTGATGTGGCTCCAAGACTACCCTCTACCCCTGCTCTGTGCTCTCCTTGGCTTCTCAGGAGTAGGTATCCACGGAGGGTGGGAGGTGTGGAGGTGAGCTAAGGGTCTGGGGGCACCCAGAGCCTGGGAGAGGACAGGTGGGTGCATGGGGAACACATCTTGATGGAGACATGCAAATATGCCCCTTCTCCATTCACCATCAAAAGTGGCACCCACAGAAGCTTGAGACATCCTGGTATGTGATCACCCCTGTTTGTGGTCACTGACAATAATAATAAGTACAAAGGAAATATGTGCCTTAGGATGGAAATATGAGTCTGATGGGGACAGTGGGTGGTGGGGAAGAGGAGGCATGATGAGGAATGACCACAGACAGGGTAAGCTGGAGAGGGCTGGTCCGGAGCAAAGTGGGGTTCCGTCTTCTCCACCTTTCTCCTCTTCTGTCTCTCCCCCTATTTGGGTGCCAAGATCAAGTGCCCCAATGTGTAGTGCTGACAGGGGGCTGGCAGTGGTCCGTGCCCCTGGCAGCCCACCACCACGGTTTTCAAGGAAAGCCGGAAAGTGAGGACATGGCGGGAAGGATGGAGTTGTCTGGCAGGATGGATCCTCACTGGTCCCTCTGGCCACTTGGCCACCCCAGGCTCAGCCACTGGCCACCACCCTGGGAACAGCTGCATTCCTGGGGTGGTATCACCAATGGGAGGGTGGCAACAATGGGGAGGAGGACGTGGTGATGGATACCTGTGCCTGCCGCGCGCTGACATCAGTGCAGACCATAAGCGGAGCAGTTAATGGCAATCTGCCCTCAGCATGTTCCCCTGTCCTGTCTCATTATTGCACTGGGTTGGCTTAACCCGACAGTGCAGCCAGGAATCAATAGATGGATGCTGGCGTCTTAGCAATCGATCCCTTACTCATGCACGCGGCTCCCAGCCTCCCGCTGGCGCTCGTTTTTCTGTGAATGGCAAGGGCTGAGTGAAGCTGCCTGTGCTTGCCTCGCAGCACCGCGAAACCGAGTCAGGTGAAATTCCTGCTCCTTCACAGCACTGCCTCTGTGCCTGAGGGCAGAGGGGACTCACATGGAGCCCTGGGAGGCACTGGCACTGGTTTTCCTCCCCAAACAAGGTGGCTTTAGTGGGAATGGTTGGGCTTGAAGACTCTTCTTGTGAAAGACGTTGATTCTCTGTCTTGGGGCAGATGGGGGATGCCTTTGAGCTGGTTCTGACCCTCAGACCTCTCAGGCTTGTTCTCCAGCAGTGAAGATGGTGCCAAGGACCAGGCAGATTAGGGATGTGGGCTGGCTGCCATGTAACCCTGCCCCAACGGTCCCAGAGACCCATGCACCTCCATGCCTGTCCTTCTGGGAGCCTGGAAGCAGGCAGCTTGCTTCAGGGTCAGTTTTGGCATTCACGCACTGGTTTATCTGGGGAGAAGATGACCACCGTGTCCTGGCACCAGCACCACTGCTGCTGTCATTGGATAGTAGGGAGCAGAGAGTGGAGAACGAGGTATCCTCCAACCTGGCACTGCCTCACGCTGCCAGCCAGGGACTCCTGCAGCTGCTTTGCCCATGTCTGCACCAGCCCCTACCACCATGGCAGAGGGTTTGCCTCTCACGATCTGGATGGCTGTTTTATTTCTATGGCAACATTTCTCTCAAAACACTTCATAGGGAGCCTGGTGCTGTGTGAAAACATGGGAGGCAGCGTCCCCCATTCTGTCCCCTGCGAAAAGTTCAGAAAAAGGACCTGACACTTCCCCTTGCCTCTCTCCTCACCTCCTTCCCTCCCTGGTGAGTGGCACCAGCACTGGTACAATGAGCTGCTGGCGTTGTCCCGGCTACCTCTCCACTGCCTGTTCTCCTTTCTCCTGCCTTCTGCTTCACTCTCCCCTTTCCTCTCGCTTGCTCCCTTTCTGCTGGCAGCCTGCCTCAGCACCCGCGCAGAGGGACCAGCTGAAAGTAGTCTTGTAGAAAGTGCATGTCAAAAATTACTCTGCTAGAGAGGAGGGTAAAGCCCCACGAGAGCTGTATAGATCGGCCCTGCCAGCAGCACGGTGAGTACAGGGGCTGAAGGGCACCCAGGATCCCAGAGGCTGGACAGACAGGCACTTCATCCCTCTGAAAAGCTCGATGGCATTATGAAGAGGCGGTGCCTGCCACGGGAGTAGGCACAGTGGCCCCAGAAGTCCTCTCCTCTCCTGTCTCCATTGTTCCCACTACCAAGAAAGAGCCTCGTGTCTGGGTGGAGGTGACCAGGCAGAAGCTGTGAGCAGCACCGAATGCCAGCAGGTGAGAGGCAGGTGAGCAGGCAGGATGCCAGCGGGAGCAACTATTGCAGGCTGGAGGAGCAGGGGTCTGACAGCAACCTGTAGAGATGGGGGGGGATATTGCAGTCATAGTAGTGTGCAAATGCAGCCGCTGTGTCCCACTCTGCACTGCTCTCCCTGGTCTGATCCTGTCTGTGATGGCAGCCCCTGCCCTGTTGGGCAGCTGGGGGGCAGGTGAAGGAAGGGGCAATGGTCCTCCATATGGCATGAAGCGGGCAGTGCTTGGGCTTGACATCTTCTAGATGCATTTGTTAAACAAGACTGATCAAGCTGCAGCAATACAGGTCAACAAATCTGTAGTGAAATAATTGATCCGCTTGCTGCGGGAATGCAGTTTTCCAGCTTACCTGGGATGCTCCCTCCGCTCTGTTTCTGGTGCCTTGCAGGCATGGCTGAAAGGGAGAAGCTGGGACCCTCTCATGAGAATCGTGACTCTGCTGGGCTCCTTGGGCTTCTTAGCATAGCAATGAAGGGTTTGGGGGGAGGTTGTTTTTTGTCTATAGCTGATGGGTTAGTGCTCAGCAGCCATGCCAGGCTGGGAACTCAGCTCTCGTGCAGCAGCTGGGTGTGGAGCAGTGGCTGTCACCTCTCTTGATCAGGGTCTTGGTGCAGAGCAGGCTGTGCCCTGGTTATTGCTCACCCTTTGCTGCTGTCACTGTTGTTGTCATCATCCATAACCCATTTGCAGGCACCTGCCTTGCTGGGTGCTTGGCAGAGGTACTGCCCTGTCAGGAGTGCAACCCCAGCAGGCAGGCAGATGACGTCAGCCACCCTTGGCCGCCTTTTCCTGAGCACTAATAATGATCCCTTTCCCTTGAACAAGCTAAAAACCATCAAGAGGCCCTGTGTGGGCAGCTCTTCTGTCCAGGGACTCTGTGTTGCAGAAATACCAAGGCACAGGGATGCTGCTGGGAATGGCCTTTCACCAAGGCTCCTGCAAGGCAGGGTGCTCAGTGAAGGGAGTTCCTGGAATGGGGGCTTAGAGGAGATGTCCTTTTCACTGATGCAGTTATGTTGGAAAGATGGAGGAGGCAACCTGAGCACACTGAAGCCACCTGGGACGTGAGGACCTCAGGGACACCCCAGCACCTTCAGTTTTTCAGTTCTTGTGGATTTTGCACCAAGGCTTTGGAGTCTAGTTTGTGATTTAGGCAGGCAGGGTGCTGGGGCATGCATCAGTCCTCACATTTCCTCAGGAGCAGGTGGGATGCGGTCTGTGCCTTGGCTGCCATAAAAACTCTGCTCCTTTTGGCCAAAAAACCATCCAGGGAAGGCCAGGGGCCTTCTGAGCATTTAATTTTCTCTATGACGCCAGCTACAAAGAAAATACCCACCTACCTCACTCATCAAGAAGGAACTTCTCCCCAGCTGCTGCACCAGCAGCATCCTCTCCTTACAATCCTGCTCAGCCAATCCCCAGCCTCTGTATCTTGTCCTCTCCAGACCCGTTTTGGCTAGAGAAGAGTGGGTGAAGACCAGTGCCAGTCCTACCAGCCCCACCATGGGGTATCCCCCATCTAGTCCGAGATCCTGGGGAGCAGGCAGCTGTTCCTGCAGTGCCGTTGCCTGGACGGTGCAACCGGAGCAGGGATCACTGGGGTGGTGTGGGAGCAGGCAGGAGGTGATGCTGTCACCTCTCTGTGCCTCTTCCTGACTTTGTCATCCTGGGGACCTTTGTGTGGTTCCCATTTTTATCTGTTTTTTCTCCCTCTCACTCTTTCTCTCCTTCTCTCTTCGCTTTCTTCTCTCCCCCTCCCATCAGCATGTGGGCTGATCACTGCTCAAACTTTTAATTCAGATGGTAATTGGAATAATAATACGGGCAGAATCCTTCTGGCTCCGTTGCTGCAGCTGGCTTCAGGGAGCTATGAATAGCTCTGAGTCACACACTGAGATGGTTTAACTTCAAATCATTTTGTTTTGTTTTCATATTACCCATCCTCAGGCTCCAGAGCTTCACAGGGGGGTAAAAATATCCCCCCTTCTCACTCCATCCCAAAATGTAAACCAGGCAGAGATACATTACTAAAATCCTCTTTTGGAGAGGAAACTGGTCAGCGGATCATGCCTTGAGGGGCAGATGGGGACTGTTGGCACTTAATCTATTTATAATTATTGAACGAAAAGGCAGAAGTGTGTATATAAAAATGGTATAGAGTTGATTACAGCTTCCTCCCCTCACCTTCCATATGTCACTTGCCTTTTTAATATGGTAAAACTCTCCTGCGCGGTGACTGTGCCTTCGTGTGTGCCCATACAGTGCCTGGCACCCAGCCCTGCTGGCACGGAGGAGCGGGAGCTCGGCCACTGACTCTTGTGGCAGGACAGCCCCACGGCACTGAGCTGCCTTATGAGCCCTGGCATGAACCTTGGGAATATTTGTGAGGAATAGGAGAAGAGATGGAGTTACAAGGATAATGAAGAGGACAAACGGAATGCTCTGGGTCTGCGAAGCTCTGCAAAAAGGCAAAGAGATCCCCTCTCAGCTGCAAATGTTTCCATCCTGACCCCCCAAGAGGCAAGAGGCTCATCTGCTGTGTTGTCACCGTGCCTGAGCTGGCAGGCTGAGTCTGTGGATGCCGATCTCAAAGCCAGCCAGAGATACACAGCCTGTAATGGGGATAAAGGCACAAAGCGGAGCGCAACCAGCGGCTGCGGTATTGACCACAGACAGGAGGGAAGCATTTGCCAGACAACTCCAGATAAAGAAAGCAAAGACTAAGAGTGTAAAAATACCCTGGGATTTTTCCATCGTTGTCGTTCACAGTGTACGTCCCAGAGCACCAGATATGGTTGTTATAAAAAGAGAAGTGGGGGAGTGCTTCAGCATGGACTTTTCTGTTCTGTTTCATGAGACTCTTCCACTGCAAATTTAAGGAAGGATTGACAGTATATGATCCACTCTGGCAGGGGCTGAAGGAAGACTGGGATGTGCGAGGCACTGCACTGTGTACTGGGAATGGAGAAATGGAGGCATTGCGTCAGCACCAAGTGCCTTGACATTATTGGCACACGGATCCCCTGGAAAAGGACAGCAACAACCCATCCCCCTGTGCCTGCTCAGGGTCAGAGCAGAAGCGGGGTGGCAGTGTGGGCTGGTGTGATGGTTTGTGCTGCTGGAGCACAGTGTCACACGGGAAGGTGGAGATGACTGCAGCACCACGGTGGTGTCCCCAGCACTGCTCAATCTAGGACACAGGAGGGGAAAAGTGGTTGGGAAGGAAGGCAGGGCAGCCCACACTGTGGGGCTGGAGGTGGATGTTGGCCCCTGGAGCCCCACCTGGCTGACAGCTTCAATGCCACAGGACAGTGGCTGTGATGCCTGTGCTGCAGCAGCTTTCCACAGAAATACCCATAGAATATGTGGGTATAGAAATACATGGGTATTCCCACACACCAGGGACAGGGTAGCAGAGGGATGGAGAGGCATCTCTCTGGACTGCAGTATCCTGCATCTCCCAGGGTGCCTCATGCTGCACCCACCAATGTGGTTTCATCCCTCTCCCCAGAAGTCACCACTGACCCCACAGCTTCCTCCTCCATGTTGTGGGTCCCAGGCAGCAGAGCAAGCTCCAAGAAAGACCCTTGGACATGCTCTAGGACTTCCATCTCTGTCCTCAGCTAGGCTCTCCTCCCCCTTGTCCATGTGACAGGCAGCACTTGTTCAGAATGTGAATGTCACCCCCTTTTTCTGGAGATGTCTCTGAGCATTCCCCTCTCATCCAGTTTGTGTTTCAGATTTTCAAGCTGCAATGAAACCATTTCACAGGCATTTGAACTGTGTTTGCGTAGGTTTTGGGCTCCTGGTAGGGCCTCTGGCCTTGTTGAGCTGGCAGCATCTATTTTGCAGGCAGAGATGTCAGTGGTGGCCCTGGGCCACCAGCTGCTGAGGAGGGACAGTGACATCTCCAGGGGGCTAATGCAAATGTCAGCACCAGTGTGATAGCAGTCCCCAGCCCAGGGCTTCTTGCCTGCCTGTCTGTCCTTCCCATGGTGGCACCACGCACTGTGTGGGTGTGTTGAGGTGGGAGTGGGAAGTGTGTTTATTTTCGTCTGTCTACTGGCTCGTGCCGCTCTGAGTTTGTGACACTCGATATTACTAACACTTCCCCGTGCCAGCTGGCAGCAGGAGATGAATCAGATTGGCAGCACCACTATGTGGACCCCTTAGTGTCCATCCAGCTTGGAGTGATGTCTCTGGCCAAAGAACTGGTGATATCTCTCGCCCCTGCCCAGGGTGAGCCCTGGCACCAAAATGCCAGTGGCCTGAACTTGCTGCTGGTAATCTCTCAGTACCCTGTAGACAGGGTTGTCCCCTCTGACCCATGCTGCCTGCCAGGCCCTGTCCCTCCTTCATGCTGGAGGTCTCAGGTGGCTTCGTGACGTGCTCTCTGCCCACTGGCGGCATCCCCAAGTTGGGGTCGGCTCTGCAGCCAGCAGGATAGTTCATCCACCTGCTGCCAAAAAGAGGTGTGGCGGTTGTTGTGGTTTAATCTCAGCTGGCAACTAAGTATCACTCAGCTTCTGGCTCCCTCCCCCTGTCCTCAGCCCCTGCCAGGAGGACAATCAGAAAGAGAAGGTAAACCTTGCAGGTTGAGAGAAGAACAATTTAATAATTGGAACAATAACAAACTAATAATAGGAATTGTAATAATAACTAGTGGGAGAGAGACTAACAGGATCTAAGAGAAATTAGTGATACACAACCCAGTTGCTCACCACCCACTGATGGATGCCCAGCCCATCCCTGAGCAGTGATTGGCCCCTTTAGATAAATCCCCCAGTTTATCTACTGGGCATGATGCTCTCTGGCATGGAATATCCCTTTGGCCAGTTTGGATCAGCTGTCCTGGCCACGGTCCCTCCTGGATTCTTGTGCAGCTCCTCACTGGCAGAACATGGGAAATTGAAAAATCCTCGGCACTACTTAACAACTCTAACACCCATGGGTTATCAGCATTATTTCATACTGAATCCAACACACAGCACTGTATTTGGCTACAAGGGGGAAAATTAACTCAGTCCCAGGACAGCAGCTGATTATTTACCCCCCCCCCAACTCCTGACCACTCAGCACCCATGGAACTCGATGACATCACAGACCTTGGAATGTTGGTTGCTCCAGCTGTTGCCCAGAGCCAAGACGTAGAGGTGTCTGGTCCTCCACTCCCTCCTGAACACCCTGCTGTTACAGACGGAGGGATTTTGGTGGCTGCCTCTTCCCCCACAAGCATCAGTGAGGCTGCAGAAGCTGGCACACTGCTTGTCAGTGTCACCGGCCTGCGTGATCTGGGCTCCAGGAGGATAATTTGGATTCTCCCACTTGCTGCAGCCCAGAGCACCTTGAAAAATGTCGTGGCCACTTGGCATCTCTGGACCAATGGTGAGCGTCTTACCAGAGTCTCAAGGCTTGGAAGATGATGATGATGATGACAGGGACGAATTCAGGTACTCCTGCCACTCTGCGCATTCTTCACCCCCAAGCAAGAGCAATGACAGCTTATATGACAGTCAGACAGAGGATCTGGGAGAACCCATCCCATATTTCCTAACTCCCAGCCACTCTAAGATGGTGGAAGGTGAACAAGTGGAGCTTGAGGAGGAGGGTCAGAAGTTTCAGGAACCATTTTACAAAGACCATTTTAAAAAGTCTGACAACTTGTCTGGAGATAAAGAGCCCAGCCAGACCCAAGATTTTCCTGGGCATCAGGGGTCGCCTGCTCTCCAAAGGTCCAGTATGGCACCATGTGTCTCCCAAGACTCTTTCCAGAGTAACACAGACCAGCAGTCGCAGACAGAGGCTGCTGCCCCACAGGCCCATGCCAGTGACCCCTCTGTGGGGGCTCCACAGTGCACCACGGGAGCAGAGCCCCGCACACTGCACAAGGAGGCCATCGGGGAGAGGGATTTCCCATCTCTGCAGCTGACCTACAGCATCCTAAGGGAGGAGAACAGCGTGATCAGGGATGAAAATGAGGCACTCAAGGAGAGGTATCTCGCACTCCAGGAGGAGAACTGTGTGCTCACGGAGATGTTCTATGGGCTCAGGGAGGACAACGTTGTGCTCAAGGAGGAGAATGTCTTGCTCAATGGGGAATACAGCATGTTCAGGGAGCAGTACGACAGGCTCAAGGATGAGAATGACACACTCAGAGAGGACAATGCCACTATCAGGAGAATGTTTAAGAACTTCCAGAACAGCTTGGAGACCCAGGCGTGCATGGTGTCAAGCCTGCAGGAGCAGCTGAAAACCAACCTGGCCGAGCGGAAGAAGGAAGCCCGAGAGCTCCAGTCCTTAGTCCAGCAGACTAAGTGTCATCTCCAGCTAATGACCCAGCGGGCTCTGGATGCAGAAGGAAACATGGAGAGGCTGAAGCAGAAGATCTTTATTCTCCAAGGACAGCTGGAGAGATATAAGCTGGAGAACGAAAACCTGAGAGCAGACCTGCCTGGGAGCAGCGAAGCACGACTTGGATTTCGTGTGGCAAAACCCCCACAAGCTCCTAACGGGCGCAAATGGCTCCATCAGGCAACTCCTACCTCAGGAATGAAGGTTCTTCCTGTTATTGCTGAGGTCCTTGAATCTACCAGCAAAATTCTCAAATTGTAAGCAGAAAAAACCTGTGAGTGCAATTCTGTGTGACTTCTGTGGATGAGTGTACAGACTGAGACCATGGGTCTTCCACTCACAGCTATTTGCTGTAAATAAAAGCATTTGTTTTTCCATTCTCAAATGTGTGTGCTCAGACTGGTAGCCTTAATCCTTTGTGGAAGTAATTTCCTTGTGATTAAGTATCAGTTGCAGGTACTGGTGTGGCCTTAGCTGCTGATAACTCTGTTCAGGCACGGTGGAACCAGCAGCAAACATTGTCCAGGCTCTGAGCTGCACAGTCCAGCTGTGGTGGGCTCTGCGCAAGAGGCTGTGCCACAGTTGTGGCTGACACGAACCCCTGTGTGGGAGCCAGGAGGAAGCATAACAGCACAGGATGCAGTGCTCTTAAACAGTGTGCTCATCCCTTCCCATAGCTGTACCAGCCACAATCAGAGATGAGCAAAGCCCTTGTATTTCATCCTGCTTCCTTTGCCTCTTCTTGGAGAGGTGGGAAGGGTGAGGAGCAGAGATCCAGATACTGTTGCACATGGTTTCAGTGAACAGAAGCTCCTTTCTTCCTCTTTCTTTGGAGCTGGCTGCTTCCCGGGCCACAAATCCAGTCTCTAGAAATTGTGCACCTGTTTCTGCAGCTGGGGAAAAAACCTCTGGGAAGCTGTGAAGTATTCATATATGCGAGCTGCGGGAGTGCCTTCTCTCCTGTACTGGTGTCAGTGCTGGATAAGAATGACCTTGGTGTATGCAGGCTACCTAAGGGAGCTGCCAGTTGGAGAGGATGCCCTTCCTCTCCTGGCTGGGCCTGGCATAGAAAGGTGTACCTAAACTGCCTGCCTTTGTCACCTCCCAGAGTCACATGGGAGCCTGTGGCTCAAACTCACCATGTAATCACTAGAGTTACATTATAGCTTTATCCTAGCAGGACCATCTGTGGGCATGAGGTGACCTTTCTTAATCACATCAACATTTCTGATTAATTCAGGTTACCGGCCCAGGTTCTGCCATTGGTTTACCCAGCTACACAGCAAAAGTTCCTGTATCCAGCCAAACTGACCCTTCTTAAAGACTTGGATGCTGTAGGGTAGTGAGGGGGTGGGAGCTGGCAGAGTTCAGTGCCAAAGTGCTTTTTCCTGATGGGAATTTTTGGGCAACTGTTTAACCTCTGTGTGGTGAGTTGTGGATTACAAGGTTGTTGTCTTCTCCTGGTCCCATAATACCCTTGATCTGAACAACCATGTTCATGTTGCCACAGAGCTTAAACTGCCTCAGTAACCAGGAGGAGAAACTGCTGGTTAAACTTCATCCCATCAGAGGTGATGTCTGAAGCTCCTTACTTGCTGCTTTCCAGTCTGTGCTCCTAACTGGGGAAAGCTGGTGGGCTTCCACAGACACATGAAGCCCCATTCTGCAGCACTGATGACTGAGGCAAGGATGGTTCTCACCAGCTTTTCCATCCTAGACATCACTTGCTGTTCCTCTCTCCTATCCGTGCATGACCACTTGCAAGCAGCCCTAAACCTTAGATTTGACCCCCAAATCCTTGTATTTGTCACATATCTGGCAACCAGTGGTTGCTCACCAGTGAGGTTGGGAGTAAGCAAATTAGCTGGCTCTGTCTGCATCCCGCACTCTGCACTGGCTGCTGTAATCCGAAGGCTACAGAGCAGGATTAGCATGGGTGTACAAAGCCCTTCCTAATCTGTGAGTCATTACCCCTTCACTGCATTTCACTTCTCAGCGGCTCTGGGCAGACAGATAGGTGAGCTCTTGAGTTTTTGGCTTCCTCGTTCTTCCTTTCCAGGAGGACTGGATCGAGACATAACATCTGCTGCACCTCCTTCCAAGACTCTGCTGAGCTGCTCCTTGGACGCTGTACACAGGGCATGTGCAAGGTTTGTTTGCTCTAACTGGCTTCCCCTTGGCTACTCCTAAACCCTTCCTTTCCATCAGTTCTTGGTTTTGGCTCTACCCCTTAATATTCTTCTTTTCTTCAAAGCAAGGGTGATGTTATGTGGACCCTGGAAATAAATCTCCTCTGGGTCAGGCTGGGCTGACGGGGGCTGCTGTGCATGCCCATGCTTTGTTAGCCCTTGTGTGTGAGGTATTTAGCCTAGTTGAGCTCTCCTCTTGGTATAAGCTCTGATATTAATATAATGGCTCAGGGTGAGGGCCCTCTGAGCTGATCAGCTCTTGTGCCCTTGGTCTGGAGAGCAGTGACCAGCCAGCCCTGCTCCCCTGCTGGCAGTAGATGTTGGGGAGGGCGGGGGCTGTGGGCTGTGTGACCCAGTCTGCATCCACCAGCTCCTCAGCTGCCTGAGCCAGACTGTGGCACTGTGCCCGTGGAGACCTCCAGACCCGTCCTGAGCACGTTGTGAGCCCTGTGCCTGCCGCTCTGGGCTGTGATGGGTGCTGCCAGGGGAGGCTCTGACTGGGCTTTGCTTTGTCCTTCTCTGCCAGGCACATGCCCAGGAGCACTTGCAATGGCAGTGCCAGTCCCAGCTCATCAGAGGTGAAACCCGGAGCCACCCAGTCCCATGTGAGTGCTGTTCCATGAGTTCCCGTGCCATTCCAGCTCCCGTGGCCCCCTGACATCTGACGATACAGTGAGCCATGGGCAGCATCCGAGTCAACAGGTGAGTAACCCTCCTGTCAAGGACTGCTGCTGCCCTGGGTGGCCTGGTCCTCATCATCTGCCTCCCCCTGGCCCCTACCTTCAGCCTACCTTCTGGTATATTCTTCTCAAATTACTTGTCAGGGTCTTTCCCTTTCTTGTTCCAAGGTATGACTCCTCTCTCCTTCTCCAAGCCAAAACTTGCCGTACATAGGGGCAGTGCTTGGAGGAGTACTGCTGAGGAGAAGCAAAGCACTGCATGGTGCTGGACCAGAAATTGCAGATTCCAGCAGTGCTGCAGAAGTCACATGTCCCCAGGAATCACAACTCTAGGCACTAGATCTTCCCTTGCTTTGAGATGTGGATGGGCGTCTTGAAGCCCATACTGGTGGACTCCAGCTGACATGTTAACACTATGGGGTGGTAGGGAGACACTCCCAGGGTCCTGTGAGGCTGCAGCTCAGCAGGCATGAGGGCAAAGTGGTCTTGGCGGTTCAATGCACCCTCTCGATTTCCTCAGTGGTCAGAGCATCTTCTGCCATCACATCTTTAAGCAGTATCTGCAACTGTCACAGCATCACATGAGGGCAGCGTCAGAGCAACCTGCAAGGGAGGGGAGCCAGAGGGGCAAACATCTCCCAGAAAGTGTGTGTAGTTTCTGCCAAGGAAACTGCCAGCACTTCAGCTGTTGATCTCCAAATTACACCTTTGGCCTTGGATGCAGGATGCTGGAAGCCACGCATGTTGCTGTGGCAACAGAATTGTCCTGAGTGCAGGAAATGTATAAACATTGTGAGCACACACCATGAAATCAGTGAGCAGAGCAGAGGAGAAAATAGAAACTCCCAGCCTTGTGTAATATCAGGGCCAAAATGTGGTCAGGCTGTCGGTGCTTGCTCCCAGGCTTCCCAGCTATCCCAGCTGCTGTCAAGTTCCAAAGATTTGTTCCTCTCCTGACCACAAGGGCTGGAAGGTACCACAGAGCTACAAGCTTCTGCTGCTTTGCTGCCTTGTCAGGACTTTGTTAGATACAACCTCCTGGTAGCGAGACTCAGCAAATATTGCAGCTGACCTCCACCAGTTTGGTCAGAGAGGCTCCATGCTGCAATAACCAGTGAAATATGCTGTTGTGAAATTCCACAGTGTTACTCTAGCCCTGCGATCCACCTGCATGTCTCCTGCCTTTGCTGTCTCAGTGATTGCTGTTACTCTTCACATATGGAAATGCCTGTTTCTCCTCTTCCCAGGTACAGCATTGTCTCAACTGAAGAGGATGGACACAAGGTCTCTGCGCTGGGCAGCATGAACGGGCACAGCCGGAACGGGAAGGGCCATGCTCCACGGCGGAAGCACCGCAACCGTTTTGTGAAGAAGAACGGCCAGTGCAACGTCTACTTTGCCAACCTGAGCAACAAGTCTCAGCGCTACATGGCCGACATCTTCACCACCTGTGTGGACACGCGCTGGCGGTACATGCTTATGATCTTCTCAGCTGCCTTCCTGGCCTCCTGGCTCTTCTTTGGCTTCCTCTTCTGGTGCATCGCTTTCTTCCATGGCGACCTCAATGCACCGGCGGTGGGAGGTGGTCCCTCTCTCCTCAAGCCCTGCATCATGCATGTGAACAGCTTCCTAGGGGCTTTTCTTTTCTCGGTGGAGACACAGACAACCATTGGGTATGGCTTCCGCTGCGTGACCGAGGAGTGCCCGCTGGCTATCATGGCAGTTGTGGTCCAGTCCATCGTTGGCTGTGTTATTGACTCCTTCATGATTGGCACTATCATGGCCAAGATGGCAAGGCCCAAGAAGCGGGCCCAGACCCTCCTCTTCAGCCATCATGCGGTCATCTCCGTGCGGGATGGCAAACTGTGCCTCATGTGGAGGGTGGGCAACCTGAGGAGGAGTCACATCGTGGAGGCCCATGTCCGAGCCCAGCTCATCAAGCCCTACATGACAGAGGAAGGGGAATATCTTCCCCTGGACCAGCGGGACCTAAATGTGGGCTATGATGTGGGTCTTGATCGTATATTTTTGGTCTCACCCATTATTATTGTTCATGAGATTGATGAGGAGAGCCCACTCTATGGGATTGGCAAGGAGGAGCTGGAGACGGAGAACTTTGAGATTGTGGTTATTCTGGAGGGGATGGTGGAAGCCACAGCCATGACCACACAGGCACGAAGCTCTTACCTCGCTAGTGAAATCCTTTGGGGTCATCGTTTTGAACCAGTAGTGTTTGAGGAGAAGAACCACTACAAAGTGGATTATTCACGTTTTCACAAGACCTACGAGGTAGCTGGCACACCTTGCTGCTCAGCCCGGGAGCTGCAGGAAAGCAAGATGACTATCCTACCTTCTCCACCACCTCCCAGTGCCTTCTGCTATGAGAATGAGCTGGCACTTGTCAGTCAAGATGAAGATGAAGATGACGACGAAGTGGGTGTGGTGTTAGGGGGCAGCACCAAGGAGGAGGGAGGTATCATCCAGATGATGGATTTTGGAAGCCACCTGGACCTGGAGCGGCTCCAGGCAACTCTGCCTCTAGATACAATCTCATACCGCAGGGAGTCAGCCATCTAATTCCTCCAGTCTCCCCGTTCCATTCCTATTGCCCAGTCTCCTCTGTTCTGCACCCATACACTGGATAAGTCCCTTGACCACCAAACAATGCCTCCCGTGACTGCCTCTCAGCCCCTGAGTACATCAAGGTCTGGAGCTGCTCTGATATGTTCCCTTTCCCATGAAGTCATACTACCTGGAAGAGAAGTGAGGATACACTACTCTTCCCGGGTATGCAGCTTATACTAGCATCCCTTTCCTGCCCAGAGACAGGAGAGCAGCAGGCCTGGTTTCTTGTCTCTGGAGAGGTGACAGGAGTCCCTGCCTTCAAATGACAGACTGGGACCTGCAGCAAGTGTATCTGCTGCTGAGGCAACAGCAGACTTTCTGTCCCCTCTTGGTATGAGTGGGCCCCATGGCTGTTAGGAGTCATGGCCACCTCTAAGAGAGGAGTAATTCCTAAGCACTGACAAGATGAGGATGGAAGGGAGAGTTCAGGACTCCTGGAGGGAGTGGGGAAGGATCTCAAGGGACGAGTTTACTTGCATGTTTGTTGCTTGTTGCACATGACTCTCTCTTTGTATATAAAACAGAAGAAGAAATGACATCCATATTCTTCCACTGCAAATGTGAAGGTAGGAGACAAGGACGTTCTACACAGCCTGCTCTTGACTTTTGGTATCTGTCACCTCCAGAAGCAGCTCAGCTCCATGGACTCAGACCCAGTTCTCCCAGTCCTCTTGAAAAACACATCCTGCTCCTCTCCTGAAACACCTGGTGGAGGAGGCAGGGCCCATTTCTTGCCACACTCAGACTGCTCCCTGGCACGGCACAGCCAGGATGACAGACAACTGACCTGACTGGACAGCAGACCCTCCACTTTCTCCTTTCACCTCCTCTGTTCTTTTCCCTGCTGCCATCAGCTGTAAAACTGAATTTGTAACTATTTATTTTTAATAAAGTCTAATATCCCAAGGGGAGGTTTGGAAGCAAAGGACAGACCCCACGGCTGCAGCCTGGTATAGAGACTAATGGGGGTTATTAGCACTGGTGTTTGCTGTTTGCATGGTGTTGGAACCTGAAAGCTCCAGCACAAGGGCTCCCTTGTTCTGGGCCATTCTGGTAAAGACCCACAATAAGACACTCAGAGAACTTGTTAGGGGAAGAAGGTCATACAAAATGTATGAACAGGGAAAATCATTTGCATTAAAATTACCAGCAGGATGGGTCAAAAAATCCTGCTTGCTTCGGAGATAAAAGTTTTTCCCAGGGAAGGGTTCTAGATATACTTGATAAAGAGGCAGAGATGCACAAGACACTGGTCTAGATGGAAGGCCCAAAAAACCCATTAAAAAAAAAAATCAAAGCCTCTCTTTTTGCTAGAGGCAAGTAGAGGGGAAACTAGGGAGGACATCAACCAAAGCTAGACTTGTAACATTACTTTGCTGTCATTTCACAAAAGAAGTGAAAACCTGATGAGCCTTTTCCTTCAGGAGCAGCAGAATCACCCCTTCAAAACTGCAGATGAGATGAGAGCAGAAAGACAAACAGGGAGCTCAGGAACCTGCTCTGGGCACCCAACAGATGTGCTATGGGGGGAATGGCTGAGGAAATTATGTCCCACCTAACCCCTGACCTAAAAACTGAAAAACAGCATCCTCAATGTCTGTTTGGAACTGGTTTAAGAAGCAATAGGAAGAGGGGAAGGAGAGGGATAAGGAAGGAAATAGCAGGACTGAGAGGAAGAAGCAGACACAGCAGGCAGGTGGCACAGGAGGAAGGAGAAAAGAGGAAGAGAAAGTGAGGTAATATGGAAGTGCATTTGAGAAAGAGCATGGATAGACTAACAAGACATGTCCAGACATGGTCATTTCTCATCCCAGGATGTAGGTTCTGTGGGGGACCAGCTCTCCTGCCTGGGTTGCTCCATTTGCTGGAGTAACTCCATTCAGCACCACTCTCTGGGCCCGGCCATGCAGCCAGCCTTCTACCCAGTGAACAGTGCACCCATCCAAGCCAGACAGTTTCTCTAGGAGAATGCTGTGGGAGACAGTGCCAAAGGCTTTACTGAATTTCAGGTGGACTATATCCACAGCCTTTCCCTCATCCACTAAGCACGTTACCTTGTCATAGAAGGAGATCAGGTTGCTCAAGCAGGACCTGCCTTTCCCAAACTCATACTGGCTGGACCTGATTCCCTGGTACTGTGTGATGGCAAGGTGATTTGCTCCATGACCTTTCCTGGCACTGAGGTCAGGTTAACAGGCCTGGAGTTGCCTGGATTCTCTTTCTGGCCCTTCTTGTAGATGAGCATAACGTTGGCCAACCTCCAGTCACCCAGGGCCTCTCTGATTAGCCAGGACTGCTGGTAAATGATGGGGAGTGGTTTGGTGAGCTCTTCTGCCAGCTCTCTCAGTACCCTTGGGTGAATCCCATC